TAGTTTTACCATAATCTGTAGTACAGGTATTTGTGTGATGTTTAGTAATCAGTGGATTCTAATCATTGCTATAGTAATTCTTAAGTGTATGACTCTTATGACTTTAGCAGCCTAAAAGACTCTTATGTATATGTCATTGAAGTATAAGGATTTAATTCCTTGTGTCACTTGGTTCTTACCTTAACATGTATTCATAAAAAATTAATGTAGGTGTAAAGTCTATACTTGGAGCAGATATTTTAAAAATGCACTGCACTCTTCCTAAATGATATTCAAGTTTAGTAGCACTAGATATTTATGAGACTTCAGCAGTCATGTCTGGAACTCATCTCTGCTGAAAATAAGCTCCAGTTGATTGGTTTCTGGGCAAAATCACAATGAAAGTTATTTAATTCCTATTCTTATTTAAAACTTGACGTGTAATATTTAAATAAGTGGTAACAAAGAAACATTCCTAAACATGACATAGACATTTTTTTCCCCAGGTGTAGAATGAGCCAAGGAGACTCAAACCCAGCAGCCATTCCACATGCAGCAGAAGATATTCAAGGAGATGACAGATGGATGTCTCAGGTAAAAGGAGGTGCACATTTATTATTCACATGAGATGAGTCTTCCTCAATTTTTAGAATCTTTTGACCAAAGCTACAATGGAATGTTTTTAGTGGAAAGCAAGAATTGATTACTGTAAGTGAAAATCTAATATTAGAAATGTCATTCCTGATCCTCATCTGATGTTGGAACTGAGGAATATTTTGAAAACATGGTCATTGCTCTCGGTTAATTTTAAAAGACAGTAATGTTTGTACAGTATTCTTTTTTTAAGCTTTTAAAAATTTTGAAGTAATTTCAAAGTTGTACAAATATTACAGACATTTTAGAACTTCTTATATCCTTCATCTAGACTTGCCGCTTGTTAACATTTTGCCACATCTGCCTAATTATTCTGTATCTATTTGTAATATTTACCAACATACAGTTTTTTCTGAATCATTTGAAAGCATGTTGCAGTCAACATACCCCTTTACCCCTAAATATTTCAGTGTCTTCTAAGAACATTTTCTTACATGACTACAGTATAGTTATTCGAATCAGAAAATTTAACACTGACATACTGTTACCTAATCCAAAAACCATATTCAGGTATCTTCTGTTGTCCCAGTGGTGTTGTTTTTATCAATTTTCTTCTCAGTCTAGGATCGAACATTGCGTTTGGTTGTCATATCTCTTTCTTCTCCTTTAATCTGAAACATTCCTTAGCCTTTGTTTTTCATGACATCGACCATTTGGAATGGTGTAGGTCATTTATTTTGTAGAAGGTCCCTCAGTCTGAGTTTGTCTTTTTTCTCACAGTCAAGATTCAGATTACAGCTTTTTGGCAGGAATATCAGGGAAGTGATGTGTTCAGTGTATCACACAGAAGGCAGGTGATGTTGATTTGTCTCACTGGTGATGTTAACTTTGATCACTTGGTTAAGATAGTATTGGCCTTATCCAATTCTTATTTGTTATAATACGGACTCATGGGTTCTTGTTTTATTCAAGAGGGTTATAAAATCCACTGTAATTTTGAAACTCAATTTGTCCCAAGTTTAGCAAATGGAAATGTCTTCAAGCTGGCCCCTTTGTCTTCTTAGATTTTTTTTAGCACTTTTTTCCTTCAGTACTTGTAGCTTGCTTTTAATAAACCGTTATCAGTTAGCAATAACTATATTTAACCTTTATTTTTTTCCAACCATATTACCTCTTTAATAAAGTTTGAAATGATTTTAAGTCCCCAAAGTTTCATGTTTTCGTGTCTAGTGATTCTGTTTATACTCTCCATAGTTGTATAGTTGCTCTCTGTTTTTGTCTTTTCAGACTTAAAAATCAATCAGCTTATTCTGAGTGGTAGTTTTCTATTTTGACTGTCCTCCTGTGGACCAACTACTTGGTTATTCTTTCTTAATCTATCTCATTTGTTTATATCTTTTTAAAAGTATTATGAAATATTTTGAGCCTCTGTGTATTTGCTACTCAGCCTTAAAAAAAAAAATTGCTAATAGAATTGCTGTACCCTGCATAACCACACTGATCACATTTCCTTCTCTTTCCTACCTCCTCACCCCAAGCCAGTGTCCTAAATTTGAATTTTTTTTCATTTATATGCTACATATATATAATCTCTAAGTAATACGTGTATAGTATTTTTCACATGTTTTGAAAGTATGAAAATAGTATCTGAATGTATTCTTTTTGCAGTATATCACACATGCTAAAAATGTGGCTGTAGTTTATTCATTTTTTTTTTTCTCACACCAGTCAGAATGGCCATCATTCAAAAGTCCACAAAAGATAAATGCTGGAGAGGGTGTGGAGAGAAGGGAACCCTTCTACACTGTTGGTGGGAATGTAGTTTGGTGCAGTCACTATGGAACACAGTATGGAGATTACTTAAAAAACTAAAAATAGACTTAATCGTATGATCCAGCAATCCCACTCCTGGGCATATACCCATGAAGTATTACCAAAGTAGCCAGCCCTGATCTAGACGTGAGTACCACATATCAGGAAATACCCAGAGCAGATGAGCATGTCTACCACCAGCACAGGAATGCAATCAGCAAAATCCAGGCCATGGGAGATTCTATAGGTCAAACAATCATATTCCTTAAAAAGTAAGTTTGGGAAGTGCTGGCAGAGGGAAGGGGAACCCAGAGATTAAAAGGAATTTAAGAGACAAATTGTCTGGATCCTGATTTTAAAAAATACGGTATCAGTTCAAACAAACAAAAACATGGTAAAACAAAATTTTGTGACATTGAATTATTGATATTAAAGAGTACTATTAATTTCATACTATTTTGGAGGAGTAGAATTGGTATTATGGGTATGTATTTTTAGAATCTTTTGAGAGGTATGTATTGAAATACTTAATACATGAAGTGCTGTATTCTCAATTGGCTTCAAAATCATCTGCAAATGGGGTGGGGCAGTAGTTTCTGGAATGTTGAAATAATAGTGGCCATAAATTATTTGATTACTGTAGCTGGTGATGGATACATGGAGATTCATTTTGTTATTCATTCTGCTTTCCTGTATGTTTGATACTTTCCATAATAAAAGGTTTTTTTTTTACAGGTGATACTGAAAGACTTAACTGTAGAGAAATTTAATAACAAATCATGTCAAAACATATTAGCCAGTTTAGGAACTCTCAGCAACAGGCTGAGGGAAGTATTTGCAGTGAATATTACAGGTGAAGCATTGATATTTTTTGATATATTATCAGTAAAAATGTCTTCAGAGTATCACTAGACAAGTAGCTCAATAAGCATGACAAAAAGTATTTAACTTCTGAAAGTGCAGATTAAAACAATGGGAAGAGAAAGAAGAGGGAGACAAATGTTAAAATCCAGTGCAGGTGCAAGGTTGGTAAAGTGACTTCTGACACATTGCCAGAGTCAGCAGACATAGCCATTTTGTTAAGAATTTGGAAATAATGTCTAAGATCCATGAAAGTGTTAATTCCCTTTGACCTAAGAACTCCCAGCTTAAAAAAAAAATTATGTATATGCGTGTGTGTAAGTTTCTTCATCTCAGTCAATAGAAGGCTTCTGGCAAGTCTGTCATTAGGAAAAAGAGCTTTAAAAAATGCGTGTGGCATTTAAAATTACGGTTATGAATATTATTTAGCTACATGGAAAAATACTACTGGTGTAATGTTAAGTGCAGGTATAATGGCTACTATTTACTGAGTACCTACTGGGTACCAGCCAAAAGCTGAGCCCCCTATTTTAGAACTCTCATCTTCACAACTCTAAAACAGAATTGCCAGCAGATGTGTAAAACAGGACTTGGGTTATGTAGTTGCTTAAGGTCACCGGCTTAGAAAGTAGATAAGCTAGAATTTGAACTTAGGTTTTTCTGTCCCCAAAGCCATTGTGCCAGGAGCCATACGTAACAATTCAACTATGCTTAAAAAAGAGGGGTGGGATGGGGGAAGCATGTGAAAAAATAAAAGAGAATACCCTGAAACATTAATAGTTACTGGGTTAAGATTGTAAGATTATAAGTGCTTTGTTTCGATCATTTCTATTTTTCCAAATCTATTGCAACTACTTCTTTACTTAAAAAGAAAATGTAGGGTACTAAAACCTTGAGAACAGCAGAGCTATTTAAACACGAGCTGTTGGTATGGAGAGGTGGTTGGTACTTGAGTACACCACTGGAGAGGTGACAGTGTAAAGGAGCACCTGTTCAGTAAAACTAGCCAAAGCTGTATTCTTGCTCATCTTATCTGTTCAGTTTAAAAATACTTACTGAAACAACTGAGTTTTTAAAAATTATTTTCACAAGGCATGGACCAACCCAAGAAAAAAGAAAAATCTATCCCAAATCCTGTCACTATAAGAGAAGCTGTTTTAATCAATTCTCGGATTGTTTCAGAAGTATTTTGTGTTTTCACCAATAGCGGTGGGATATCTGTTCCACCACAGTGTCATCTGCACTAGTATTATCAGCAGAAATACTTAAATAGTAACTCTATCTTAATTCCTAGGGAAAGCATAATTGAATGTAGAGTTTGAGAAAAAGAAAGCGTTTGGACATTTCCCTAGAACTGGGTTAGAGACCTTTTGCCCAAAGCATCATGTTCATTTGTTTCAGGGATGAACTTAAAAATTTAAACTATGTCCTTTAGCATTGATGGATAAAATCGTTTTTAAAAGCCTTAGGCCTTTAGAGCAGAAAGAAGCATTCCAGGACTAGGTCACCACTGCTTAGAAATTTGGAGTAGACTGAAAAAAAAAAAAAAAGCCTTGAGTTCTAGTTTGCCATTTCACATTTAGAGGTTAATGGACATTATCAAAGGCCATATTAAAATCATTCAAGAGGTAGGGTGTAGCTCAAGTGGTAGAGCGCAAGCTTAGCATGCACGAGGTCCTGGATTCAATCCCCAGTACGTCCTCGAAAAATAAACAAACAAACAAACCTAATTACCTCCCCCGCCCACACAAATTTTTTAAAAATAAAATCATTCAAATAAAATGCATGCCTCTTGATTGGATCCTAGTTCAAAAAATAGATACATACAACACTTTCCAACTCTTGAACAGTTGTAAAGATTGAAAACTAGATGCTATGAGATTATTGTTCGTTTTCTTAGATGTGAGAATAGATCCATGGTTGTACAGGGGACTTATGCTTAGCAGTTGCTTGTGGAATATTTAAAGGTGAAGAATCAATGTTTGCAGCTTACCCTCAAATGATTCAGCAAGCACACACAGATAAAACAAATATGGAAAAATGTTATTGTTGAATGTAGGTGGCATATGTACAGGTTTTCATTATGTTACTTCAGCTTTTCTGAATATCTGAAATTTTCTTTAGAAGAGTTGAAGGAAAAGATAAACTGCTTAAGAACACATTAATACTTTTTTTCTCTTGGTTTCAGTAAAGTTCTGGGTTTTTTTTTTTTAGCATATTAGTATGATCAGTATCGTAAGAGTGGGAAGAAAGTTCCAGCAGTTAATTGCAGATTGAGAGGAATCAACTTGAGGCATTGACCAAATTGAATGTTTAACAGCAGAGTAACTGGTTGAACAACTGTTCTGTCTAGGCCAAGAAGTATCACAGGGAAAAAAAATGCCAGTTTCTGATTGTTCTGTCTTCTTTAAACCAGCACAACAGATTTGTCCTGGACTGTAAAGACAAAGAGCCCGATGTCCTGTTTGTGGGGGACTCCATGGTGCAGTTGATGCAGCAGTATGAGGTAAAGGTGGGAGGGTGAGAGTGGTCCTTGGCTGCTGGTGTCATCACGTTCATGGATAGCAGACTTTCATTCATGACAGTCTAGTTCAGAGCAGAAGGGAAATCAGACCTATCTAATAGAATTTTTTGTTCCATCAAGTATGATGGAACAAAAAATTTAACATTATTTTTAATTAAATTCCCTCTTTGCCTTCAGCTTCCAAGAAGCTTCACGTTGTGTTTGTTTATTTCTGTTTGTCCTAGTCATGGTTTTAAGTTCTTTTTTGTATTTTACTATTTTCTTACTTGTATTTGCTCATTTATGTTTGTCCTAGTCATGATTCTCAATTCTTACTACTTGTGTTTTACCATTTTTAAATTTTATATATTTTTGTAGTGAGCTATTTTGAATCTTTTTTAGGATCGGCATTCTTCCAAGGGAAATTTAAAAGGAAGGATAGCTTTATATCTGTTTGGCCAGAGCACTCTAAATTTTTTCATCTCGTGTTTCTACTTCACCCTATTCCTTTAAATGGTTGAATAAAGGGAAAGGAGAGTTTATTGAGTTGGCAACTTAATTATAAATGTTGATATCTCTTGAATGGCATCAAGTTAAGTTGTGACTCAGGTCTTGAGTTGAGACCTAACGCTGCCATTAAGAACTGAGTTATACAGTGACATCTTCAAAGCCCTTTCAACAGTTGGTAGCACACCGCTTGCAGTGTTTGAATATAGAAAAGGGAAAGTGTTATTTCAGATGCCTCACAACATACTGCAATTGAGGGATTTTATTTCCCACTAATTTTAGTGTAAATAATTTTTTCTCTTTTTAGATATGGCGAGAGCTTTTTTCCCCACTTCATGCACTGAATTTTGGAATTGGGGGAGATACGACAAGACATGTTTTGTGGAGATTAAAGAATGGAGAACTGGAGAATATTAAACCTAAGGTGAAATGAAGCTTTTTTTCAAAAAGAATATCCTTACTCTTGAGTCTTTCACAGATAGTTAAATTGTCAGAAACTAGTAATACAAAAAAAATTGCTTCTTTTTTTGGGAGGGGGTGGTAATTAGGTTTGTATGTTTAAAATGGAGGTACTGGGGATTGAACCCAGACCCTTGCTAAGCATGTGCTCTACCACTGAGCTATACCTCCCCCCCAAAAATTGCTCCTGTAAAGCATTATTTCATCATTGTTCTTTGCTTTCATATCCCTTTAAGATGAATGATATTGTCATTGTTTAAGAACATTTTAAATACACGCTTAAATTAAGAATCCGTGTATTGCTTGCTTGGGTTGTGCCTGTAATTGTTAATTCTTCTTCAGCTGTAGGAAGAGATGTACTACTCATGAGGCAGCTGTTCTGTGAACCTGAGGCAGTGTGAGGGGAGATTGCTCAGAGGGCCATGGGAACAGGGCCATGACTCACTTTAGGAAGTAATTTTGGATCCATTTAACTATATAAACAAATTGGTAATCAAGGCCTCCAGGTTATTTTGAGAAAATTTGAAGCAGATGTGAACAAATGTTCACCACAGACGTGTACCCAGTGCCTTATCACATAAACGTCCTGAGTTGGCAGACTACATGTAAGTTTTTTCAACCCCAAATAGAAAAAACAAAGCTAAGCCATTGATAACAATTGTTTTAGTTGAAAGAATTTTATTTTTTTGCCTTTCTAATAGAAAAACTCACCCATATTCCTCTCTTTTGTGATGGGTGGAAATTACCTTGTTGGGTCATATAAGATCAATGTCTTTAGGTGATAGCCACCTTGTAAAACTATTTTTTTAAAGAGACAAAAACTCATTTAAAAGTTTTAAGGCTGCATCCATCCAGCCTCCACCCCCACTGATTCTTCCTTGAGTAGAAATATGTATTTATGCCCATTACACTCCCTTGGGTACTTTAATTTTTTATTTTTTTTTTTTTCTAGAAGGTACTTCTAGTCAGGGAGTCTTTATCATGTCACTTACAAATATTTTCCCCCAGGTTTCTTAGATTGCACTTTCTTTCCATTCCTTTCTTTTTTTTTTTTTTATGTGCAGAGGTTTTATTTTTATACAGTTGAATGTATGATCTTTTTTGTCTAGTTTCTGGATTTTAAGAGATTAACTTCCAACTCCGCAATGATAAAAGAATTTTATTGTTTCTTGCTAGTACACTTTCACCACTTAAGTATTAATCTGTTTGGAATTTATCCTGACGTTTATGAGGTGTACGTTAATGTTTTAATCTTCAATTCTTCTGGCATGCCCTGTTGAAGTTACCAATACCATTTAGAAGTTGATCATTTCTTCTTTGATTTTTTTTTCATGGAAGGAAAACTTTAATTGCTGTTGCAAAAACATCTGTATAAAGTAGAAATTGGTTTCAGTAACATTAATAGAGAATATGTTCTAGAAAGTGGAGTTAACTAGATATAAGATCCTAGCAGCAATTTAATATAGAACAGTCCCAGATAGTCCCAGGGCTGGGGCCAACACCTGATGAGGGCAAAAGCCTTTTCTGGGGAATTTTGGATGCTTCCTGGAGAAATAATACACTGTGTAAATCAAATTGAATTTTTCTCGCAAGTACTGTAAAGTTTCGTATGGTAAAAGGCTCTCTTTACATATATTTCAGTTTCACAGCAACTTCTTTGATTTTTGAAATAAGATTTTGAACTAAATATTAGACATTCCTCACTCTTGATTATCTTTTTTCTCTTTTTTATCCTTCCCTCAATTTAGGTCATTGTTGTCTGGGTAGGAACAAACAACCATGAAAATACAGCAGAAGAAGTAGCAGGTGGAATCGAGGCCATTGTACAGCTTATCAACACAAGGCAGCCACAGGCCAAAATCATTGTGCTGGTATGTAGTCTTGATTGTTGTGCTGGTATGTAATCTTTGGTGGAGGAAACCTTGATACCTAGGTCAGGTGAGGAGCCTTTTTAGAAATGTGATCATTCATGAATATAAAGAGTCGTTAGGTAGAAGCAGTTTGTGATGCTCCTGAGAGCTCTTCTGTGATGTGTCCTTTCATCTCACCAGTCTCACCATTTCCCAAAACAGCTGTGGGGTCATTTTTTTAAAAAAAACAATTTTATAATTGTTCTTTTTACCTATCTGTTTATTTTAACGGAGGTACTGGGGATTGAAATCAGGACCTCCTGCAGGCTAAGCATGCGCTCTACTGCTGAGCTGTACCCACTCCTCTGTGGGATCATCTTTTATCTGCTCATCCTTGTTTAGAATTAGAAATCTTTGTTGCCTCAGGTAGCCTTAGATTTTTTTTTTCCTAGACTGTCTTCTGATAATTTTTTTAAATTGCATATGAGACTTTTCCTGGTCCTGGGTCTCTTTTTATTAAACTTGTGTTTGGATTAGCTTAGAAGGGTTGTTTTGCTCCACTGTTAATATGGTAAAGGTGATACATTTATTAGGATTGAATTCTATAAAATGTCAAAGATTCCATCAGCAAGAAAATGGGTACTTCATAATGTTACCCCTAACAAGAAGTGTTACCCTTTGTAGAATCAGAGCATTAAGTCTTTGTGATCGCAAAGATGAATAGCAGTCTATTTTAGTGTTAACGGTTACCTGTTGATATTCTTAGCCCAGCTAAAAATGTATGTCTTTGTGAACTCTAATATATATTCAGTTCTTTAATGAGATAAAGGGTTAAGAAGGTAGTCATTCATTCAGCAGACATGTGAGGATCACTATGCACACTGCGCTATCCTGGGTCTTGAGCAGGCAGGAAATAGTAAGACAGTCCCTCTCAAGGAGCTCACAATCTGGTGGACGAACACAGCAATATAAACAGGCTTATCCTGCATTCTAAGGTGAGAACAGGGTATATTTTAGACATAAAAGTTGACATCTGAGTTGAGTTTTAAAGAAATCATTGCACCTCCAGCTATCACATTGAGGTTAAGACTTAACATACGGATTTGGGGGAACACAAGCACTAAGGTCATAACACTCAGAAAGCACGTGTAAGAAATAGAATATAAGGATATGATTACAGAATGTTAATGTCACTTGGAAGAGACCATAAGGACTAATAAAAGAAAATATCAATTTCATTTCTTTACCTCAAGCTTTCTGCTGAGTTTGAAATATAAATGATTATGTTGTTCCTACTTGTGTGTTCCGTTTTCCCTAATAGAAAATATTACAGTGTTCATAGTTACTAAAGTACCAAAGCATAGGTTGTGTGTTAGTTTTCCTTTTGTCTTTGCTTTCATTTTACTATAATAAATATAGTGTATATATGTATAAATAATCAGTAAAAAGAGAATTTATTGGTCTCCAGAGAAAGGAAAGAAGAGGAGATATTACAGAGGAGAAAGAGGGAGGGGAAGAGAAAGAAAGAAAGAAGGAGAGAAGAGGAAGGAAATGATCAAAGACTTAAACTACATGTATGTGTTTGTTGGGTGAGTGAGGAAGGTGCTAGAAGAATTTTAGGGTTCTCATTGAATCAAGTTTAAGACTAGGATAGTTAGGAGAAAGAGGCCACAGCGAAGTCCCATGTTAGGAGTTTGGGTATTATAACAGGGTGCTGGGGAGCCAGGTCTTGTTTTTCTGTTATATGATATTTAACTTAATTTACTTGTTTCTGTATTTGTTTATATCCTGACTTATTCCAGAAAGGATTACATTATGGTTGAGTCCATCTCTGAAGTATAGTGGCTGGTACATATTAGTTGCTTAGGACATACTGTTGCATAGATATTGCTCAATAAATCCTCCATAAATTTTTTTTTGTTTCAACCAGACTTCAATTTGATATACAGTGATGTTATATACGGTACTGAAACATTGGAAATAATCTAAATAATCAACCCCGTGAGGGAATGATTACACAAGTCATTGAATTTAAGAGCACTAATCATACAATGATTATGAGGACTGTGTGAAAACAGAATTTATGATACATTTAAGCAAAAAGTCCAAATAATAAACAGTATGTATATTATATTTAGAATTGCTTAAAAGTAAATATGCAAGTGGAAGAGGAAACAAAATAGTTGTTACATGGTAAAGGAATTAGGAGTGTAATTTTTTGTCTCCTTTAACATAATATTTTAGCAGTTAATTGTTACAGAGGAAAAAAATCACATGGCATACGCTTGATAGTCACACATTATGCAAATACATAAAGTAGTTTTCTCATCCTTGCTTGAAAATCCCAATAGGTATGGCTCCCTGTTCTTGAGGCTTTATCATTTTTTCTGGCTTTGATTGCTGTGGTATTCTTTGAAAATCAGAACAAAGTGTTTATTAGTCACTGGCCATCCTTCCTAGTTGCTTGTTATATCTCAAACCAGGCCAGCATTGAGGGCTGCTTTTCTTTGATAACTGTTAGATGCAGAGCCTTACTTTTTTTTTAAGTCATATAAACTAGGGTTTAGGATTTACCTCATCTGCACTTAACAGGGCTAAGAAGGAGAGGGACTAGGGTGGCGTACTCATAATTCTCTATAATTCTCTTTTGGAACTGTACAGTCAAACAATAAGTTGATAATCAAGGCTCCAGCATTTTGCTGAAAAAATTTAAAGCAGACATAAGTACTAATTTGGGGCATAAAAATTTCTTTGTTCTTTTAGAAGAATACCCACAAAAAACCTATTTGTATGAAATAAGACCTCTTGTACCCTGTAGGAGAAACGGGGGGCAAAATTTTTGCCTGAATAACTTACTGCATGGCATCAGTAGCTATAAACCAACTAAAGGGTTGGAGATTTCTGACAATTTTATAATAGGATCAGTGATCTGTAAAGGCCATTTCTAGTTTGAAATGATAAAATCTTTTTTTTTTTTTTGAAATGCTAAAATCTTGCTCATGAAAGAGCTGGCTTTTATTTACTATAGTAGAAGGACAAACATCTGATTTATCTGAGATTTGCATTAGGTTATAAGTTAAAAATGAATTTAGGATACACCATTGTTTTATACTAGAGCGTATATCATGTGGCTCTGATTCATCAAGACAGCATTTGTTCCAGCTCTATTTCTCATGTGACTAAGTGTAGGTTCCATGTGGCATTAATGGATAGATGCGTATTTGAGCTAGATTATTCTAGCTGTATGATGGACTATATGGAGGATGAATTGAAGGAAAAGTACCACTGGAGGTACAAAGACAGGTCAGGAGATTTTACATTAATTGATGTAAGTAGTATGAGTTCCCTAGCCATAGCAGTGTATATACTCAGTAAAAAGAATGGATTAGAAAAATATTGAGGATGTAAAAGCTGAGTGATTTAATGGTAAGTAGATAAGGTATGTAGGATGAAAGACTCAGGGATGTTGCAATGACTGGTTGATACGGAGAATGTAGAAGGAACGGAGTTTGGGAAGGAGATGATGAATCGCTTTCGGACACGTGAAGTTGGGAGTGCCTCAGGAACATTCCGGTCTGCTACACCTGGCCATTCAGGATACAGTTCTGAAGCTCTAGGAAGAGATCTGGGCTTAAAGTGTTTAGAGTGAGAAGAGGAATGGGCTGAGGACAAAACCCTGAAGAATACCAACAGTTAGGGAACAGGAGAAGGAAGAGGAACTCCTGAAGAAACTGAGAAGGAATGGTTATAGAACTTCCATTAAAACCAGTCTAGTCCAGTGTTCTAGAAATCAAAGGTGTAAAAAGTGCCAAATGGAGAGTCCCAGGGATATTTGAAATCACCAGTAAGTAGAGAGAAACAAGGACTCTTCTCATCTTGTCTTCTTCTCTGCTCTGCCCCAGGGTTTGTTACCTCGAGGTGAAAAGCCCAACCCTTTGAGGCAAAAGAATGCCAAGGTGAACCAGCTCCTCAAAGTTGCCCTGCCGAAGCTTGCCAACGTTCAGCTCCTGGATACAGATGGGGGCTTCGTGCACTCGGACGGTGCCATCTCCTGCCACGACATGTTTGATTTTCTGCATCTCACAGGAGGGGGCTACGCAAAGATCTGCAAACCCCTCCATGAACTGATCATGCAGTTGTTGGAGGAAACACCTGAGGAAAAACAAACCACCATTGCCTGACTGGCTCCCATCAGTGTTAATAGTGTCCCAGCTTCCTCAGATCAGTTCTATCACTGGCACTACAGAGTCCTTCTCTTTCTTAAGGCACTTTGCATTGTAGAATGTTCCTGGATGTTCATATCTAGTGTTTGAAGGGGAGGAGGGATTTAAACTGGTCCTGTACATAGAAGGTTTGTTTGACACAGGAGAAAAATTAGCCAAGGAAGATGGTTGTTTAAATTCATTTGAAACCAGAAGGAGCTTTTTAGTTGTATGTGTGACACATTCGTTGAATTATCACTGTTTTTCCTAGGACAACATGAAGCCTAAGTACTGAACAAAATGAAGATTCTTTTCATGGCCTTTCGTTGTATGGATTATGTCATATATAATAATGATCAGAATCACACCTACTTGGCTTTAAAACAGATGTTTTTCCAGTTCATAATTTAGCCCTTTGTTTTTATTTTGCTTTACTCGTATGTATTCTCAATGTTATCTTAACATACAACATCAGATTGAACATGCTTGTGACTCAGATATGGGAGATGCTATAGTTACAAGTGAATTTGTTCCACTCTCTTAATCTTTCCCATGCTTAGCAGTGAAAAATAGGTTTTGCCCCATTTGGGGGACTCTGCGGAGGGTGTTATTTATATGCTGCCGAATATCATGTCTGTAATAGACCCATGCATGCAGCCTTTCCTCTATTCCCCCTCATCCCCTCTTTCTTTGGGGGGGTCGTTGTTGACATTACATGCTTTTAACACATTTCTGACCTAGGAGCTCTATTGCTGGGAGTGTAAGTCCCCAGCCAGTTACTCTCATGATATTACTGATGTGTGACTCATTCTTGTGTGGTGTTCTGTGCTATCGAGTCTGTGTAGTGCTATCCATATTCAGAGTTCTGGTTTGTTTTTTGTTTGTTTTTTCCTTAAAACCTGTTACAGTTTTTCTTTTTTGGAGGGGAAAAATCAGAACTCTGTTTCCCACTCCATAAGCCCTGATGTTATTTCAAGTTTTGTACCATTTAAGATGTATATTTTATTTTATTTTTTTTTATTGGCTTAGTTTTTAAATTATTATCAGTCCAGAAAAATTTGGCCTCTTCTCATGGGGAAGTAGGTGAGACTGCTCTTCAGGAGAGACTGTCTGCTTGATCCCACCGTGTTAGTGAAAAAAAGAACTAGGTTTGTTTAACCTTCAGAATTTCTCCTTAATATGTCTTCGTCTGAGACTTTCAAGAGAGCTCTTTATAATCTTAATGGTTTGTGAGCTACAGGAACTGCCATTTGAAAAATGATAGGACAACAGGTGGTTTACTGTTGAACATACCTGTGGAATATGTACAAACTGGATCTACAAACATATTTTAAACTGGACCAGGTGGATATTGAAGTAACCCATCAAAATGCTCTGCAGTGATTCTGCTTAATGTTCGAGTTCAATATCTAAGGCCTGTGTTTCATGCTTTGCTTGCGATGCACATGGCATTGCTTTTGTATGTTGGAGGGGGATTTGTGATTTGTGCTAAGAGCCACTTCTGATTGAAAGGGATAGAATTTGGGCTGATTTTTTTCTTGTCAAGGCTCTTTCTAGGAATTTTGTTTTTTGTCTTTAAAAAGAAAAAAACATACTTTGTTGAAAGTATCATGTCTTCATTAACAACTGAAAATATACTTTGTGTTTACTAAACTTGTTTACTACATTAAAACTTCCTTTTTATTTTTAGTAGCCCAGGTTCTTGAGTTTTTCAAGACAGATTATTTTTTTTTTTCTTAGCTGAGATATAGTTCTAGGGAGGAGAACTAAGCCACAATTTTGTGTGTGAAGAGACAGTTTCCTATCCAGGTCTTCTGTTGTCAGAGGGTGGGAGTATGGTCCAAACAAACCCCATTAGGTTACTCCTGCAGCATGTGCTTTTAGCTTCTCTCTAGACTAAGGATCAAATATCCCTTTGTGAGCGGGCCTTCAGCTCCTTTGCTTCTGTGTGTAAACCTTGAATGTTACTACATTTTATATTTACCAGAGCTATTCGAGCAATAGTATTTGAACCACTAGCCTTTTAAATAAAAGTCTACCCCATTGCTAATGTGCAGACCTTGAGTCCACTTTCATTTCTTGCCAGCTTTCTCTGTACTGCTTTAGGCATAAAATATCTATTTTTCTTTGACACCCTGGTTTGCTGCAGTATCAGAACTTAACGCTCAATCTTTGGTTTTCATATATATATATACACACATACACATATATATGAAATTTAATGCACTGTCCAAGTGAAATGTAGTTGTGATTAAGGGGCCAACTTTCTAGGCAGCCAAAGGAAGTGTTACTCTGTCTCCCTGCAAATGTTAATTCCTTTGCCCACTCATTCTCACCACACTAGGTGGCAGCTGATGATGGCACAATAAAGATTTCTGTGGTCCCATCTTGAATGTGGCAGGTTGAAAACTACCAGGGGTGCTCTAGGACATGTGCTGCCCACATATTCTAGACATACTGCTACCACCTTGAGTCTATTTGGACTTTGTCTAAACCTTAATCTTGTCAAAAACTTTAACCCATCAAAACAAATCAAGTAGCTCATACTCTGCTCTTAGGAATTCTGTGTCTTGTTGTTTATAATGTTCAACTTCCTTTTTTATTTGTTTAACCTAGTCACTGTTTACAGTTGTGTGCTAAAGCCTGAAATAATGTCTGTGCTGTGATGTATGAGCATTGCCAAGTTTATATTTATTGCAGCAAGGAAGAAACTAAAGATATATGGAAACGAGGAGCATGGCCACGCTCCTAAATCTGTGTGGGTGCATGTGGGAGAAGTGAGTTGGGGTCTCTTGAAAGGAGGCTTTTTCGGGTGGGGTCTCCCAGGCTTCTCCTTGGTGTTCCTACTTGGGGACCCCCGCTGCTAGCTGACTGGACCTCCCCAGTGGAAGTTTGTGATTCCGCTTTGGCAGTTTCATTGACTAGTAGAACTCATTCTGTTTTAGTGCATATTTCAATATAAATGTAAACATTTCACTCAAACTTGCTGTCTTCCTGTCTCCTTTATCATAGTTTGATTTCCAGTGGAGAGAAGCGATGTTTTTTCCTATCTTATCACGAGCAAATTAGATACTTAGATCCTCCTGCTGCTTTTCTATGGAACTGAATGTACCAAGCTGACCTTCATCACTTATCTCCTTGGGGGTGTAGGATGGCAGGGTGGGATGAGCAGATGAAAAGAATCCTAAATAGATAAAGGGAAGTACTGTCCAACGAAATGTTTCAGATTTGTTAGTATCTGACAGTTAAAACCAATTAATTCTTAAGTCATTAAATTGACTTTTTGACCCTTTTTCCTCATTTCGGTCTTTAGAATTTTATGTTAATTGTCCCAGTTTCCACATTTTTGCTGTTCCTCACACTAATAATCACCAGTTTTTTCTGTTTTGTACTTTGGAGTATTTCTACTGTTGCCCCCAGCTTGAACTTAATTAAGTGCTTCAAATTAATTGAGTTATTCTGAGTTTCTGTACCATCAAGGAGAAAAGTTCAGGACAACATTCCCCACATACTCTTCACCTAAGCCCTTTAGGTAGATGCGCCCCCGCCTTATTGTTGACTGGGAGGCCCATGAAGTTTTCTGTCTTGTCCAAGGTGAGTCATGTCATGTCAGTGACTGAGCTGGGATTTGAACCCAGCTTTACCTGACTTCAAAGTCCTCGCCCTTGCCACTACCCATTCAGCCCGGAGAATCTTTTTAGCTCTAGGTTCTGACTCACTGATTTATGGCAGCTACATCCCTGGTTCCCTTTCAGTTGAAGGTCCTGGGAATGAAGTTAACCCTCTCACCTGGACCAAGGCAACAGCGTCCTTCAGCCTGCAACCAATATACTCCTTTTCAACTCCATCCCCCACACAGCCACAGAATTATTAGAATTTATTTAAAATTCATTATCTGGCCATCTTGTTTCCAACCTTAAAACCAGCAGTAGAATTATGTTGTGTTTATGGAGCCAAGAATTTTTGGTGATACACGTTAGGGGGTTCAAAGACTGCCTGGCTGCTGTATTAACCTGTCAGTATGTTCAGATTGACAGGAAGACACTACTTGGGTAAATGAAACAAGATTTAAAATCTAAAGGAACCAGGAAAGTATAAGTACAGACAATATAAATGGCAGAAAGATAACTTTAAAATAGGAGTTGCCAGCTTCCATATGCTGAGGGGCTGGGGTGGGGACCACAGAAGCAGATGGAAATATCGAATGAGGGTCCACAGATCTTCAAAAACACAGCCGCCTCCCTTGAAGACCACTCTTGTGCACGAGCCCAGTTTTGCAGGTAGGTTAGTCTGGGTGTGTGCTGTGGACCACCTCATCTGACCTGGATGAATGGCTGCAGACTCAGTATTGTGGCTACTGAGTGCAGGACAGGAAACGAGTGTGGACACAGTTCTCCTTTGTCACCCTCGCCTCGCCCCAAGCTCATACTATCTACCCCAAGTACAACATCTTCAGAGCTGTGTGACCAGAGCAAGGGTCAGTTGCTCAACTGGCCCATTAGAGCGTATCCAGATGACTAACACCACCAACCACGCCAGCAATAATTACAGCAAATTGATAGACCAATGTAATACTCCTTAGCAGCTGCAAGTTTCTATGGTTATTGTGACATTCACTTGATCGCATCTCACCACGGTGAGGCCACTGGATTAAAATGATTTACTCCTATAAAAGGATAAAATTTGGAGATACTAAACTGAGGTATTTTTGCTTTTCTACTTGCCCTCCCCCAATGTCTAATCACACCAAGTTCCTCTCCACCCCCAACCCCCCAGGCACCGCCTTGTCAGCTGCTTACAGGTTCCTCCAAAATCACAGGGCAGTGGTGAAAGCAGCCTGGGTCCTGAGGCTCAGAAAGCCTGATTGTGTCCAGACTACTCCATGTGAACCACCTCGATAACCCAGGAGAGTTGGAAGGGAGGGTGATCAATAGAAGGGGAAGCCTCCTCACCAGCATCTATTTGGGGAAATAGGCAGTAGGAGGGTCCATTTCCTGCTTCCTTAATTCAGTTAATATTTTTACATAGCCACAAAGCAAAGATCTTAAATGTTTTGCTAAACACATAGGCTTTCTTTGGCCTGGTTTTATGCTATGCCTCTTGCCTCTTGCTTGTCTGCTGGCTTATTAACTTAACTAACCACATCAAATACATATATCAAAAAACAAATTTTACACACCAATCAAGCCTTGACAAAACCCTTGTAAAAATTAATGACACATCAGTAATGCAGCGTGCTCTTTGTTAACCACTGATAGTCCAAGCTATTAAATACAACATCCAATGTGCTCCATGACCTGGCCCTCTTCAGTACATACCCTCTCGCTCCTTACTTTGAACTATCATGCCAATAGCACTGAACTTTGAATCTATGCCTTTGCCCCAAGTTGAGACCCCCCTGTCTGGAATCGGCTCCTGCCCCTTTGCTAGGCCAGGTCCTACTTGTCTGTTAAGTATCTTTGTGTTCCCAGCACCTCGCTTAGTGACTAGTACAAACTAGGTACTGAATAAATGAAGGAATGAATGAACAGGAGACTGATTTGTTCAGGATCATCTAGCCAGTAATGGCCAGAATTGAAACTGGAATACAAATCTGACTTCAATTCCTGTTCTTTCGAATGGTACCATGCTGCTGCTTGTAAGAAACAATAAACATTATTCTGGCTAGTGATAAGGGCAAACTAAATTCACTTAAGAACAACGAAAATAGATTTGAGAGAGTTAGTGTCGAATGATTGCTAACTCTGTTGACCAATAAGGATACTCTCTCTCACCTGAGAAAAATCTTCATAACTCTGTCTCCAGCTGGATCCGTGCATAATAGCATAATAATTCATGATTCATTTTTTTAAATAAAATCATTTGATATTTAAAAAAAAATAGATGCAGTATATACCTATTACAAAAATTCTTGAGACATTTTCTGGAATTGTTTGATTAGAACTAGAGGGAATTATGTAAAGATACACAAACCCCAATGTTCATAGCAGAATTTATTTATAATAACTAAGATATGGAAGCAACCTAAGTGTCCATCAACAGATAAGTGGATAAAGGAGATGTGTGTGTGTGTGTGTGTATATATGTATGTGTATGTGTATACACACACACACACACACACACACACACGTATACAATGAAATACTACTCAGCCATAAAAAGAATGAAATTTTACCATTTGTAGCAAAATGAATGAATTTGGAGGGTATTATGCTAAGTGAAATAAGACAGAAAGACTGCATGATATCATTTATATATGGAATCTGAAAAGTAAAACAAACTAGTGAATATAACAAAAAAGAAGCAGACTCACGGGTGTAGAGAACAAACTAGTGGTTACCAGTGGGGAGAGGGAAATGGGGAGGGGCAGTATAGGGGTGCGGGATGAAGAGGTACAAACTGTTATGTATAAAATGAGCTACAAGGATATATTGTACAACGTGGGAAATATATTCAATATTTTATAACTATAAATGGAATGTAAACTTTAAAAATGTTGAATCACCGTACTGTACACCTATAACATATCAACTATACTTCAGTTTTTAAAAATAGAAATAAAAAAAGAACTACATGGAATTATTAAAGGTAATGTTTCTAGGAAAAGTGAAGCTAGAAGAAAAAGCTAGATTGGTTCAGAGGAACAAAGTTATCGTGAATGAGAAAATCACCTTTGTGAAGACTCCAAGGACCAATGAAATATCAGAAGCAGCTATGGCATGTGGCCTGTATCCGAGCCAGAATGTAAAGAGAGGGGACTCGTTCTACTAAGAACAATTTGGAGTAAGGACTGGATAGCTGCATGTGATCTTCAGATACAGAGAGGAGTAAAAGGTTCTCCATTTGCATCTTCTGATTTTGTAGCCGGAGACCCAAGCTTTCTTGAAATCAGAGGATGGCTGGCTCACTTTTATCAGTGATCTTTGGAGACACGGATTTGAGTTGATCAATTATTTATCTGCTTGTTTTCAGCAACATATAACCAGCCTCATTTCCTGGAAAGCCCTGATGTTGGTTCCATCACATGGCCACAGGGAACCAGATGCAGGGCCTGAACATACCACACTGTGCACATTTCCCCTCTGAATGGTGAAAGCCCGGGCTTAGGAAATGCAAAGTGGCTGATCTGTCTCTGGCAGAAAGTCCTGCCCACTCAGTCAAAGCTGCTCTCCCTCCTGCGCTGTCGACAACAGTTCAGGATGATGAATGCAGTCAAGCCCAGCTCCACTGTGCAGCATTTAGGAGGACAATGGAGAAGAGAGGTAGACCCTGAAGGGCTCAGAAAGCGTAATTTGCCAATGACGTAATTTGCACAATGCGGGGATTAAACGTAGAATTTTCTGACATCAAAGTCCTTGCTTTTTCCACAATACCATGAAGCCATGGGATTGGTTTGGGACCTTATCCCCCGAATGACAGCATAGACACTGTATCTGTAACTGATTCCTACTCTGATGTGCACCCAGTTTCCACTGTCCTTGAAGGAGAGATAAACAGACACAAGGGCAACCCTGGGAAAGAACAGAATTTGCATGACAGAAAAAAGCGCTGTACTCTTGCTTCCAGGGCCGCCTGTATCAGGACAATTCCACTTGAGCTCCAAGTGGATACACTGAGCCCTATTTATTTATTTTTCATTCTTTTTTCAGTTTTATTAGGTAGAATTGTTACAATCTGACTGCATATATACAATATTGCATGTAAATACGTATACACAATATGCTGCACATATTTTAAAAATTTACGTATATGTACTGTTCATTGTTTCTAA